TGTTCTATCATTCTTGACCAAAATCTTAAGGAAAACAGCCAAATTGAAAAAATAACCAAATTTTTGTTGTTTAATCTATTAACACATTAAACAAGAAAACAAGATAATACAAGATATTAATAGAAAATAAGAGATAGCAATATAATTTTACGCAAACAAAATACGTGGGGTAAAAGTTCCAAGCACAGAGTTACCCAGTACCAAGCTAGGTGTGAACGACAAATGTGAACCAACCAACATGTGTGTCGATCGGACATCGACATCCATCGTACCATGTTGCCAAAGATGCTTGAACGTGTAATGTGCTAGGAACACACAACACGAGGAACATAACTGATTGAAAGTGCGCTTGATATTGACAAGAGCTATTTAATGGTAATAGGCTCTGCAATTAACTTTCCATAAAGTTTATGTACCTGAAATTAATTTCTCAAAAAATGTATTTGGGTAGAATTCTATGGTGGTGGCAACGAATTATAAAATGACTTCTTTTAATGAATTCAGCAGCTCTCCAAATAAAGAGCTGCCACTTCCTTCACAAACAACTTAAAATCCAGTGATGCCATTTCTACCAAGTTTGTTTTAGAATTGGGCTGATATCATCGTACAATTTCCCATGTAAAAACACTTGGGGGAATTCACAAACGTGTCGTATTGTTGTATGTCGTAAACTTTAAAAGCTTTAGAGCCGGTTGTTCAATGTCTGGTTATCCCCACTTGCCGGTTAATCATCATTGTCGACGTTTTCGACATCACGCATATAACATGTGATCGATAAAGCAGTCGTTGTATTTAACCGGAGCTTCTACCTCCGATTTGTGCTAATCAGACATTGAACAACCGGCCCTAAGCATTTATTTACGGCTCCGGTTAAGCACAACTACTGCTTTATCGATCACATGTTACATGCATGATGTCGAAATCGTCAATAGTGTAGTGGTAGTGATAACCAGACATTGAACAACCGGCCCTTAGAGAACTTGAACTAATCGCCGAAAAATGCCTTCACCTGAGATCGCATGTATTTTGGCATTTGCTTTTATCGTTTACAATTTCTTTCATTTCTATTAAAATTTTTTCCGTTTCTATTATAATTTATTCCAAATACACCAAGCATTCAAGGCGCATCAATACAAGGTGGTGTTGACTGATCAGCTGATTGGATATTTTTGTCTCTACACTAGTATAGGAGAATGTCATCCAAGACGAAGCGGCGCAACATTAGGATGTCAGTAAAAGAAAATGATGAAAACTATCTCCTATTCCCTTTCGCTTTGACATCCTACTGTACAAAAAGCAATATTAAATTACACGGGAGTTTTACTTATATGCAATCGCCAACACCTTGTATGGATGCGCCTTGCCAAGCCTTGAACCAAAAACACCAATACACTAACCAAAACACACCTACAGCCTGCCAGGAAAAATGGTAAGAAGAAAAGTTACTTTACATAAATACCATAATGCAATAATACAAGGTGTTACTTATTTAACAATTCTTTGCCTAATAATTGTTGAATCTTTTTTTTAATTTTTTCCCAGTATAGACGTTTTATTTTCTTAAAAAGGTATTTTATCTTATTTTATTTCATTTCATTACGAATACACTATAAAAAAAGCAAATACAAAATTTATATTTTTCCCCTCAAATCGAGCTGTCACAACTGATACCACCTTGTAACATTGCATCATGCAGTCATACCAGCTTAATTAAATTTAATTCTAAGTATTAGTTGTCAAAAACGCTGATAATTGTCTCCGTGGCGTAGGCTTCCTGACAATAGTTAAGACAATTCATATGAGATAATAAGGATATGATAAAGAAGAGACATAGTTACATACACATCAATGTCTCTTGTGTTATTTTAGTTCTTTGTTATGAATTTGGCTGGTAGTTTAAATAGAATATTGGTAAATTTAATTAGACTCAGAGAATAACAAGAACGCCGAAAAACATGTTACATTTAGTTACTTGTCCCTCATACCACGGGATTTGGCTAATTACTCAATGTACCATTAGTTTGGCATGTTGTATATGTACTTTTAAACCTCACTGTTTTTAATTTGGAGTATTTCAGAGAAAAAAAAAATTATTTACGTAGCATATGTCAGACCCGTCCCAGTTATCAAACCTACCTTTTTTCTAATGGAGTTTTGTTGTGATGAGGCTGACGGCAAAGAAATCACAGCGCTTAGTTAACTCAGAATCGTCAGTTAACTACAGATTTTCAGTACCATTATTAAATCATACAAGCCGGTTCCCTGGAAGTTTTCTTTCCTTTCCTTTCCTCCTATCATGAATAAAAATCTATGTGGGTTTTTTATTTTAAATGGGGGAGTGAGCTGTGAAAAAGTGTCAAATCTGCAAAAATTGCGACTACTCCATGCATGCATAATTTATAAAAAAAAGATGGTCCAAATAACATTACGGTGTCCAGGACAGGACCATATTCTCCATCTATGCATTACATCAGAGTAGCACAAAACTACTCCAACATATTAACAATGGCATTGTTGTTATATTTTTTCGTTTGTACACGCTTTTGTTCTTCACTTCACATATGCTTTTTCGAAATTAATAAAAACCAAAAACAAAAATTAAACATTACATGTTGCCTCTGATGGCATTCGAACCCGAACATGCTGAGAGCTAACAACTAACAGCGAGCCTCTCTACACGTTCAGCTACAGCCAGACATGCAAATGTGCTTTCAAATTCTCAACTTCAATTACATTTCGTTAAAACACGAGCAGTGATCGGGTAACAATAAACTGGTGCAGACACATGAGTTGGTCCGCTACAGCATGACAGAGGGGCACTTTTGTAAGTACTCCAATATACCACAAATAGACTACATGGTCCAACGATTTTGCAGGGAAACAGCTCTTTAGAAGTTCGAATTTCTTCCCAAATTTCCGGAGAAAATGCTACTCCCTGGAAGTAAATTGCTGGAGAAGCAAATTCCCGGAGAACAAACTCCCCGGCAGTTTTTAGAATTGGGCTCATACAAATGGGTAGCTCTTTCGTTATATTCTTTTGTTGGCATTTTTCAATCGTTGTGGCAGCATAAATGTTAATCCATCGACTAGTTGTCGCTAAAGTCATGGCAACCCTGGTCATACTCCAATAAGGAGATGATTTCTTTAGAAAATGAATTCAGCAAATTTGAAAACATCCAGCCACAAACCGTATTCAGATTTGATTTGAGAAGGAGCGTCAGTAGAGTGCCGAGATATTTTTTATATTTTTTTCCCCGTAACATATTTCAAGCGATATAAAAACCAACATGAGTTTGTGTAAGTACCAATTCGAAAGTTGTTTTACGAAACTTATGGATTTCCATACACATATTTCTTCTATTTCATCTTGCCTGGGTAATGAAGCTGGAACCGCATCCAAAAACCAATCGCGAAGAAGCTCTCGGCGGCATCGTGCTAAAGATTTGGAACAGGAGGTGGAGTTAATTATGTCACAAGAGGATGATAGTGATATGGAAATGGAAAAGTCGAAAGAAAATGATTTACCGACTACACCCAAATCACACAAGCAGATTGATTATCAGCATCGATCGCCTAGCGTAGGTACGAACGATACACTGGCACAAACGCCTAGGCGGAGCACTCGCAAGAGCATTAAACCGGTTCAAGAATATGAAGATATTGTAAGCCGCAAACGTCAGTTGAGATCTGCCTCTAAGATCGAAGCGGAAAACATACAAGATGCTGATGAAGAGCCACAAGCCAAATGGACGCCAGCTAAAGTGGGTCGTGTTTCACAAAAACGGAGCCGTAAAAGCCGCAAATCGACGAAAAATCAAAATAAGTCAAAAATAATTAGTTCAAGTGAAGCTGAAGATAATGAATATGAAAAGGGCAGTCTAAAAACTAACACATCTGAAGAAAGTCTACAAATTCAGGATTCGGTTGATACGGTAGAATCCGAAGCGGTGGCTGAGAAAAATATGGACATACTTATCAATAAAATTACTGAAAATAAGGCCAAATACACCAACGAAAATATTGGGAGTGAATTAAGGAAAGAGCAACA